TATATATATAATAGTATTTTAAACAAATCTAATTGACTATAAGGCTACAAAGATTTATAATCAATTAAAATATTGATTAAGAAAATATAATAAAAATTATTAAATTAGATTCAAATGATGTTTTAATATAAATAATAATTTTTAAATCTTGCTCAAACTCTTATTGTCTTATGGCTACATGATTAGAGTTGTTCAAAGAACTCTTTGTTCGTGAACAGCTCGTGTTCAGCTCGTTAAGCAAACGAGTCAAACACAAACACACTTTTTGAGCTCAAAATATAAACGAGCCGAACACGAGCTGAGTTCAACTCGTTTACACCCCTACTCAGGAGAGCGGATCGATAGGGATGTATGCTCGCAAGTGGAGAAAGCTTGTTCAATGTTTTGGGAGATAGTGCTGCGACAATGAGATCAAGGCGTTGTTACGACCACGGACAAAGAACCAGAAGCTTTGATGCATGAAGTTGAATCTCTCCAATCTCGTGAGACTGACGCGAAGCTTTTATGGATCGGCTAAACTGTCTCGATTCAGCCAAGACACCAGCTAGACCGATCAACTGCAATTGAGCGAGAAATACGACTCGTTTCCCCCCTATTCTCCCACCTATCCTACTATATATTCATTGTTTGTTGTTTAGGTTTCAATTGTAGTATCTTTCAAATTCAAATTTCGACCTCCAGGCGTTTCTCCTTTGCTAGGGTTGTCTCTGAGGATGGGTGGTGCTTCAAATGTATCGTGCTCCATGGTGTCGATTACCTCCACTTATTTTCCTCTCCCAGTTGCCACTTGATTCACACGCACCTTCTCTACTTGCAACTGCAACTTCCTAAGTCCTTCCCGTGTTGCTACACTACTGCCCGATCCACCGTCCAGTCGAAGGTTTACCCAAATCTACGCCTGACCAACTCCCTTCCCCGTGTCGTCACTCCCAAGCCCTTTACCTGCTACTATCGCAAGACCCCGATCACACTCCCACCCGCCGCCATCAATCCCACCTGCGCCTACTTCCTGCTACATTGGCCACAGCCATCCTCCTTCCTGTTATAACCACCAATCATCTTTCCTGTTTAGAGTCTTGATTATAACCCCATTATTTTTTAGTAATAAAATTCAGCATTCCTATCGAATTTTGGGTTAACTCTAGTATCAGAAACAGTTATTTCTTATCACAAGATTTAAAATAGTGATACTTTGTTCAATAAATAAGACAAAGGATAGAAGTAAACAAACCTCATCCCCAGGAGTTGAGTTAAAATCTCCAGCAACAATCACGGAAGGCGTGCAGCTAAATTTATTGCTAATGGCTTTCTTAAACCGAGAAATTCTGGATAGAAGATACTTCACCTGAGCAAGCTTCACATCAATCAATGCAGGATCCCTGCAAATTAACTTAATTTCCATTTTAAGATTCTTCTTTTAGAGAAAAATAGATAAATGATAACACTGTATGTGCACGCACGTAAGAGAGAGAGATTTATATGAACTAATAAAACTATCGGAGGTGGTTGTAATTTTTTCCTTTCTCAGCATTTACAACAAATATTGAAAAAGAAAGAACTGTCTTCTATTTTTACCATTAGTTTTAGCAATCAAACCAACTTTAAACTGTGTTTGTTTTAAAAAAATTGCAGCATAGTTAGGGTGGGTACAGTTCTGTTTGTTCAAAAAATAATTATAATTTTAGATGAAACTTAATTGAACTGACAATCAAAATTGAATGTGTAAACTGACGTTGTGAAAAGAAATAAACAAATAAATAAATAAATAGTTGCACAAATGCTTGAAGAAACAATAGGTGCACTTTTGTTTGAAACTAACAACTGCAGTTAAGATTGGATCTATTCCATTTATTTGATTTTAAGAAATTCTATTAATTTCATACACACTTAAGCAATATAAAACATATTTGCACCTTAACAATCCTACTTTTACAGAACAAAATCCCTCGACAGCCATTACTGCTTAACCCAACTTTACTCTGTGGTTTGAATGTTGCATGAATGCCAAAAGAAACAATAGTGTAACCATATTAGAGTAAAATTAATTCGGTTACCAGTAAACGTGTGTATTTGCCACGACAAGCACTTGCTCAGAAGGCACGTTCAACTTGAAAGCTGCTAGCAAACCAACGCAATCACGTTTCAGCCTCACACAGGGATCATCTCGATCTCCATAATCACCACCATCATTTTTGTTTGACAAATCTGTTAAGGAATTCAAATCAAGTGGCATATAAAGCTTAAAATGAACTATCCTATTGAAAGAAAAGGGCTGCCCTTTCTGTTTCATGAGCTAAATAAAAGATAAGCAACCACTCGCCCAAAATTTCAAAAAATCCAAGGAAATCCCCCTTAATATTCATCATCTCTCACATTGGACAAGTTGAACTTACAAAACATATGATAATAATCTGCAGTAATTATAAAATTGGCAACATTACAGCATTAACTCAATTTTTTTTGTGACCACCCAATTTCATATATTTGAATAAAATAGGAACAAAATGGTTCGTTCGGAAGTTCACATAGAACGTTCCTATGCTTTGAACAGAACATAAGGTTTGGTACTCCTTTCGTTGGCTTAAATTCTCTCCACCATCTAAATTCTAATATTGCATTAACATTAACTACATATTCTTCTGAGAAAACACACCATTAACACTGCAACCCCAGAAAATCCACAGCAAATTAGTAATTCCTCAAGTCTTATCATCTAACAGCAGCAGCATTAGTAGAGAATACCAACAGAACCGATACTATTTTAAATGGAAAATACCACCATAGTAATGGTTCAACAACATACAGTGTGCCCCACACTAAAGACACTACACGGAACTGGCTAGCATGCAGGGAGAAGTACTGCAGCAATAACAGTCCTCCGTAACCAGTATTTCAATGCTAAAAAAGAAAAAGATTTCAATGTTTCACTTTATTTTAGTTTAGCTGCCACTGTGACAGATACAACTAGTTAAATATGAAAAGAAAAAAAAAAGTTGCCTATTGAGTCACTTAAAATTTGAAGGACACAAAAACTCATGTTCCCGGGCTATATTTTAACAAGGTAGATAAAATTCTAAATAAAAAAATGCCCAAAATATTTTTTTCTCTATTTAGTAGAGAATTTATGATCTAGTTCCAAGCATTTCACAGAAACAAGTAGTCATACATGTCAATGGCACAAAATAGTGTGCGTCATAGTGAACGGCGCAATGCAGCACACCATCATCACTATGTACAGGGCGCGGTGCAACGCGTCAAAATGGTATGTGTTATTTGTGCTATGCATGAGCAATGACACATGGTGCATTGCTCGATAACACCTGAAAAGTTGATTTTAAAGATTTAATAAAAGAAAATAAAGAAAAAATTTACGACATGGAATTCAATTTATACATATACGTATTTAACATCTAAACTTTAGTATCTATTTACATAACCCTCAAATTTTTAATATCACATCAAATATACTATTAATATTATTTTCTTAAAATGACATGCAACTTTTCATAAATATATTTTCATGTGATCATGACAACATTATATATAAAAAATATTTAGCTAAGTATTGAATAAGTATATATATATATATTAAAAAAAAGCCCAAGGGCTAATATATTAAAGAGAAAAAGATACAAATAAGTTGTATGAGTGAGCCCAAAAGTAGGCACCTAACCTACACCGTACAACACACACAAAATCCCAAAAAAAATATACATAAAAGATCAAAAAACAAAAATCACCGATGTGCAGAAAAAAATTAGGGACGACTCAATTTAGTTTTGTCTATGTCTCTAGTTCTCGGAAGGGAGTCCGCTAACAAATTGGTGAGGTGCGTATCATTACCCGAAGTAACCAAAATATCATCCATTAGATTCTTGAGCTCAAGTAGGTTAGGTCTTCATTCTGGTCTTCATTCTTCTTCTTTCCCCTGGATGTGCAAACCTGATATTCCTCGTCCAAAGATTGACCATTCGGATTAGGTGATAGAACTGTAGTAGAAACAATGTCAACCGTTGTAACCACAATAGGTTCTAGTGTATGTGAAGTATGAGTTGTCGCCTCTGCACCGGATACTTCCTGAAGATGGGGAGCTGCAAGGCTCTCCTGACACATCCTTTGTAGGCAAAAATCTTTCAATATTGTTTTCAATAAGATTTAAAGGTGTAGGTTGGCCAGCAAGACCATCCGACATCACATCAATCGCAAAAGCAGAAACAATATTGTCAGTGGTGGGTCTACAAGGACAATTAAATCAGACACAAATTCTGTCTTGTGGTAATTTCCTACACAGGTGGAGCGGATGTGTCCAGAGCAGTGGGGTTAAACTCATTCTTAATCACTTGAGTTTTAGATTTCAAATTAGGATGGAGCCTGTGACATTTATCAAGGGTATGCCCAAACATCTTACAGTGGGTACCATAAAAAGGTCTATCTTCCATGACAATTTGTTGTCAATATCCATTATGAGTTGTACCCAGTCAGACTTCAATAATATCAGGTAAAGTAATATCCATTTTCATAAGTATCCGACCACGGAAGACCTGGTTAGGTTGAAGGCATGTAGATATAGCTTCATAGGGTACTCAAGTATGACCCCAATAGAGTCGAGAACCTGTTAATTAAAAAAGTGCAGCTTGAGACCAGACAAACTAAACTATACCGATATATATATATATATATATATATATTAAAAAAAATCAGAGGGCAATTATATTAAAGGGAAAATGATAAAGATAGATTGTATGAGCTGAACCAAATAAGCACCCAACTCACACGATACAACACACACAAAAAGAAAAAACCAAAAAGGAGATGATACATATAAGATCAATCAGGACGACTAAATTTAGTCTGACTTTGCCTCTAGTTCTCGGAAGGGAACCAACTAACAAATTGGTAAGGTGTGTATCATTAACCGACGTAACTAAAGTATATATATATACACACACACACACACATACATATATCTGTGTGTGTGTATGTACATGTAGATGTATATGTATGTATATGTAGATATGCACATGTGTGTGTGTCTATATCTATCTATGTAAACATCTGTATATATGCATATATGTATGTATATATCTATATATATGTATAAATGTATGTACATATATGTATATATCTATATATGTATATTTGTATATTTGTATATATCTATATATATCTACACAAACACATAAATGCAAATGAGACATAAAGCTGTCCGCACTATGTCATTTGCACAATAGTGAGCTACACCTGTTTGATAAGAATGATAATGAAGATTATACTTTATGATTCAAACTTTAGGGTTTTAAGATAATATTGAATAAGGAAATGATTTTTTTTTTAACTTATGATGATGATGCGATAATTATTCGTATGACTGGTTCAATCGTTTATGAAAATATTGGACTTGTTAAAAAATTATGATATTTTGAATTATAAGGAACTGGGTTATTGCATTTAAGAATCATTTTTGGCATTTTTATTATCATGTTATTTCCCTTATAATTTAGTACTATTTCATATTTCCAAGCTCCAAAAATTTGCACCCCAACCTCCCTCACAAGAGGGAAATATATATACATATATATATATATA